CACTGTCATCCTTATTCATTGTCCCACTGTCAGATGCACAGCAAGTGATCAGAAAGACCATGGCCTGAATCAGATGCACCTTATTCCTCAAACTGACATTATTCCTCAATAATTTAGGCAGGTCCCTAACTGCAGACTTTCCCAAAGCAATGTGTTTCCTTATTTCCAGACTGCTGGTACTAAGGGTGTTAAATGTGGATCCAAATAAGATGAAGTTGTTGATAGTTTCAATCTCTTCTATATCCAACATGATGTTTCCTACTGTTCCAGTGGTAACAATCTTTGTTTTCTTCACATTGAGATGCAATCCATACTGAAAGCTGCATTCCTTGGCCTTCTGCAACAAGTGCTTCAAGTCCTCCTCACTTTCAGCAAGGAAGATTGTGTCATCTGCATAACACACGTTATTGATGAGTCTCCCTCCAATCCTGATGCCACACTATTCTTTATAGAGTCCAGCTTTTGAATAATTTGCTCAGTATGCAGATTGAATAGGTATAGAAAGAGAATACAACCCTGACGTACTCCTTTCTTAATTTTAAACCATGCAGTGTTCTCCTGCTCTGTTTGCACAACAGCTTCCTTGTCCAGATATAGGTTTCACATGAGCACAGTTAAGTGCTCTGGGACTCCCATTCTCAACATCAGCCACAACTTTTTATGATTCACACAGTCAAATATCGTTGCATAGTCAATAAAGCACAAATGGGACATTCTTCTGGTATTTTTCATATTCAGCCATGATCCATCTGACATCAGCAATGATATCCCTGGTGCCACAGCTTCTTCTAAATCCTGCCTGAACTTCTGCTAGTTCCCTATCTATGTATTGTTCTGTTTTTTAATGATCTTCAGCAGTATTTTGCTTGTATGTGGTATTAATGATATTGTTCAGGAAATCTGAAGGACAGATTGGCCAAGAGATTAGAAGAGGTCCATTTTTGTCCCTATTCCCAAGAAAGATGATCCAAAAGAATGTGGAAACTATTGAACAATATCATTAGTATCATATCACATGACTCAAGTGCAAGTTCAAACTGAAGATAAAGAATATTAAAACAAATCCACAACAACCAAAATTTGACCTTGAGTCTATCTCACTTGAATTTAAAAACCATCTCAAGGACAAGTTTGATGCCTTGAACACTAATGAATAAAGACCAGATGAGCTGCGGGAGATTACCAGGAATACCATCCATAAAGAATGTAAAGGGACATTACAAAGACAGAGGAAGAAAAGATAGAGGTGCACATCAGAAGACACCCTGAATATTGCTCCAGAACACCAAGAAGTGAAAGCAATGGGGAGAAATCAGGAAGTTAGAGAATTGAACAGAAGACTTTAAAGTGCAGCTTGGGAAGACAAAACAAAGTATTATAATGAAATGTGCAAAGAGTTGGAATCAGAAAACCCAAAGGGACAAACTCACTCAGCATTTCTTAAGCGAAAGGGACTGAAGAACAAATTCAAACCTCGAATTGCAATACGTAAAGATGCTATGGGCAGAATACTGAATGATCTTGGAAGCATAAAAAAAAGGATGGAAGGAGTATACAGAGTCATTGTACCAAAAGAATTGACTGACAAAAAAAGTCATTAAACAATATACGATCAAGAGGCAGTAGTGATGGAGTAAATTCAAGCTCCTCTGAAGGAATTGGCAAAATACAAATCCCCAGGAACTAATCTAATACCAATTGATATATTTCAACAGACACAGGGAAGGATTTTGAAGCTCCATCTCACATATTGTGGGCATGATGCCAGGATGGACTAGTCCTTGGAGAAGGACAAGCTTGAAAGGGTGGAAAGAGAGCACAGGAGAGCAAAACCGTGAATGAGATGAACTGACACAGTAACTAGGATAATGGGAGTAGTCTATCAGTGACAGTAAGACTGGCTCAAAATTGGGCATGGTTCAGAGTTTCTGTGCATAGGGTCACATGAGTCGCAGTCAATTTGATGACACACAACAACAACAATATAGCCAGAAATGCACAACTTGGAGACGACAAACTCGAGAAATGGGACCTTCTAAAAAGCAAGTTCTGTTTGAAACAAAGCTTTTTCCAATAGGGTAAAAAGAAAACCTACTGACAGGAAAAAAAAACCAAAACAACATTTGGCAATACCATCTCAGACAAGGGGTTCTTAACAAAAGGTTATGGAATACTGAAGGGTAGCCACAAGAACAAGTCTGACCACTCAATAACAAAATGAACAAAACACATGAAAAGACCTTTCACAAAGAAGACAGTGATAGGCCTAACAGGCATATGAAGAAATGCTCAAAATCACTGGCAATCAGAGAGATGTAAATTAAAACCACAATGAGATACCATCTCACTCCAGTAGAAGTAAGCAAAATTTAACAGGACAGTAACCAACTAATGTTGGAGAGGATGTGGAGAAATTGGAACTCTCATGTACTGCTGGTGGGACTGTAAAATGGCACAACCATTCTAGAAGGATTTGAAGTACTAAAAGGGAAGATTTACCCAGGAGACAAGTTTGTCCAAAGTAGAATTTTGTTGAGGCTGGCAGGGCTTGACCAAGGGGTATGATTGAGTTCCAGCGAAAACTCTGAGGATATTTTTATTTGAATGAATTGGTGGACCCACATTGAACTCTGACTGAAGAGATACACAGTTGAAAGAAGGGCAAGCAGGCAAGAACAGGATGAAAAAGAATAAAGGAGAGGAAGAGATTAACTTTTTAAAACTGGTACAAGTTGTTTGGCTTCTGAGGCAGCATAAACTTGGTGGCCATCAGAGCCCTCTTCCAAGTCTTGAGGTATGCTCACTCATAGAGATCACCTGGTTCCAGAAGAGTAGAAGTTGAAGGATCAACAATGGAGAAACTGACGGGACTTGGACATGTTCCTTCAGGGCTGCCCACCTAGCATGCTCAGATGTGTAGATGAGCAGGGAAGGATGTTGGTTAAGGATTAGGGTGTCATGAGGACCCCTGGCTTGTTGACTGGGCCCCAAGTAGGGGCTAGGCCTGAGTATGAAGACCAGCAGGTTTGGATCTCAGGAAGAAGTGTGAACTCAAGAGCTTCCAACTGATAGTAAATTGAGCCTAGACACAGAAACCAGGAGATAAGTTGACCAGAACTCAACCAGATGAAGACAGGATGATCCATGTGTTGTCAGCTAGGGTTGACTGCTTTGGACTGGACTTTGCTTGTGGATGCAGATGCTCTAAGTTACCAAGTTGAACAGAGGATTCTCAAGCAAAAAGGATATGCTTATTCCCTCAGAGTACTTGTTTGATAGGGATGAACAAATCAGAAACTGGCTATCCAAAAGACTATTAGGGCATATGGCATGAAGTAGCTGGCTTGCACTCTTTCATGAAGAAAGTTATTAGTAAGATGATAGAAAGAGGAAAAAATAAACCACAATACACATGAACAAAATATAATGTAAA